ACACCTGATTGTGGTATGTTATGTCAAACAGATTTTCTCATTTGGAACCAGCCTTTCTTTGCTGAAGGGAGGATCCTACTTGAATTTGCTGAATTTGATAAGCTATTATTAACGATTTTTAAATCTCGGGGCACCTGGATGGCTCAGTCGGTTGAGTGTCCGACTTTGGCTCAGGTAATGATCTCATGGTTTGTGTGCGAAGGAAACAATGAACAACATTAAAAGGCAACCGATGGAGTGAGAGAAGATATTTGCAAATGATGTATCAGATAAAGGGTTAGTATCCAAAATCTATATAGAACTTATCAAACTCAACACCTAAAAAACAAATAATCCTGTGAAGAAATGGACAGAAGACATGAATAGGCACTTTTCCAAGGAAGACATGCAGATGGCTAATAGACATATGAAAAGATGTTTAACATCACTCATCATCAGGGAAATATAAATCAAAACCACAATGAGCTACCACTTCACACCTATCAGAATGGATAAAATGAACAACTCAGGAAACAACTGATATAGGTGAGGATGCAGCAAAAGGGGAAGCCTTTTGCACTGCTGGTGGTAATGTAAACTGGTGTATGTAGCCACTCTGGAAAACAGTATGGAGGTTCCTCAAAAACCTAAAAATAGAACTATCCTATGACTCAGTTATTGCACTACTACGTGTTTATCCCAAGGATACGGGAGTGCCATTTTGAAAGAGCACATGCATATCAATAGCAGTGCTATCAACAATAGGCAAATTATGGAAAGAGCCCAAAAGTCCATTGACTGATGAATGGATAAAGAAGAAGTGGTAGATATATACAATGGAATACTACCTGGTGATGAAAAAGAATAAAATCTTGTTACTTGCAACAACAAGGATGGAACTAGAATGTATTATGCTAAATGAAATAAGTCAGAGAAAAAAAGATATATGATTTCACTCACATGTGAAATTTGAGAAACAACAGATGAACATAGGGGAAGGGAAGAAAAAACAAGATAAAAACAGAGAGGAAGGCAAACAACAAGAGACCCTTAAACACAGAGAACAAACAGGCTTGCTGTAGGGTAGGTGGGTAGGAGATGGGCTAAATGGGTGTTGGGCATTAAAAAGGGCACTGGTTTGGGGTGCCTCCGTTGGTTAAGCATCCAATTTCAGCTCAGGTCATGATCTCACGGTCTGTGGGTTCGAGCCCCGCGTCGGGCTCTGTGCTGACAGCTAGCTCAGGGCCTGGAATCTGTATTTGGAACTGTGTCTCCCTCTCTCTCTGACCCTCCCTTCTCATGCTGTCTCTATCTCTCTCTTAAAAATAAATAAAATATTAAAAAAATTAAAAAAAAAGAGGGCACTGGTTGGGATTAGCACTGAGTGTCATGTTTAGGAGATGAATCACTAGGTTCTACTCCTGAAGACAAGACTACACTGTATGTTAACTAAGTTGAATTTCAATAAAAATAAAAGTTAACATATAGTGTAATATTAGTTTCACGAGTAGAATTTAGTGATTCATCACTTACATATAACACACAGTGCTTATTACAAGCGCCTTCCTTAATATCCATCGCTCATTTAGCCCATCACCTGCCCATCTCCTCTCTAGTGACTCTCAGTTTGTTCTCTATAGTTAAGAGTTTCTTTTGGTTTGCCTACACACACTCTCTCTTTTCTGGAAAATGATTCATTTTTAAGAGCAGTTTCGAAACCAGGTGTAAATATCCTTAAAGATTATCTTCTTAAAAACATTCAATTTGTTTTTGTTTTTTTTTTTTTGCAATACAGCAAAGGCAAGTTTCTGCCTATTCTAAAGTGAGTTATCAAAGTTCAGATTCATTGGTTAAATATGTCAAGGAAAATGGATGATACACTGCTGGTTTTCTTCCAGGTTGACCTTTAATCTTATGATTGTGTGGAAGTGGCCCAAGTCCTTTCATTAAAGCTTAGTGCTCAGACAAGGTGGGAGGAGATGCTGGGAAGAGGGGAGGTGAGGCTGACCATAGATATATAACCACACCCTATGCTTTTAGCAACTCCACCATCCTGAGATAAGAAAATGTTCTTTCCCAACCCAAATGAATTTTATCCTAGGTGAGAAAGAAAAAACTAAACACCTAAAAATCTAGTTTTAATCTTATTCTAATATAGTAATATCAGGGTGTTAAAGTCAGTATTTGTCCCAAGCATCAGTGGGTGCTTGTGGTTTTTGTTTGGTCCTTTACACAGTTGAGTATGAATTCTCTACATCCTTTCTACATCACTAGGTGGTAGCCTTGTAAACTTATGGTCAGTTGACTATAACTTCTGTTCCCAGAGAAGTCGTATAGTCTATTGCTTGCCACAAAGCATAGGTCCAGACTGGCTCTACTATCAACTAACTTTGTGAACTTGGACAAATAGCCAGTTTCTCCCTCCTCCCCCGTCCCATTCCCCATCAGTGAAATGGAGACACTAGAACTGAATGCAGAGAGAGATGGGATAATTAAAATGCTTATATTTTTCCTAAGTTTATTTATTTACTTTGAAAAAGAGAGAGAGAGAGAGAGAGAGAGAGAGAGATATGTACAAGCAGGAGACAGAGAGAATGAGAGAATCCCAAGTAGGCTCTACACTGCCAGTGCAGACCCCACATGGGGGCTCTGACTCACAAACCATGAGATCATAATCATGACCTAAGCCGAAATCAAAAGTCAGCCACTTAACCGAGTGAGCCATTCATTTGCCCCAGCAGCTTACTTTTTATAAAGTGCTTAAAACCTTGCCTGGCATGCACAGTAAGTTCCTGGAAGTAATAAATCTTTTCATACAGCTAAAATAAAGCCCTTAGCTGGGTTTGGAATCTCCTCAGTGCAGACTCAGCTTGTAGCCATAGATTGAATTGCTGACCAGAACCAAATCATTGCCTCTTGAATGCATACTTGTTATAGACTCAATGTTTGTGTCCTCCCAAAATTCATATGTTGAAACCTAATCCCCAATGGGACGGTATTAGGAGGTAAGGCCTTTGGGAGGTGATTAGGTCATAAAGATAGAGCCCTTATGAATGGGATTAGTGCCCTTGTAAAAGAAACCCCAGAGAGTTCCTTTGTTCTTTTGTCATGTTAGGACACAAGGAATAGACTACTGTGTATGACCAGGAAACAAGCTCTCACCAGACATGGAATCTGCCAGTGCTTTGGGCTTGACCTTCCCAGCCTCTGTACCTGTGAAAAATAAATTTCTGTTGTTCATAAGCCAACTCAGTCTATGGTATTCTGTTATAGCAGTCTACATGGACTAAAACAAAACTCGAGGATCATGTTTATCAATATTGGAAACTTCTGGACAAATCTCAGAAATACTCAATTATATTTTTAGAAATTAAATCCAAAGCTTCTGAGAGACCCATAAGAGTATTCTAACAGGCATTTGTAGGTTCTTTCATCAGAACAGCATAAATTTGGGTTAAAAAATTATATAGTGCTACTTCACTAGATAACTTACTTCATTCAAAGTCAGGCCACTTTTGGCTAAACCTTTGGTCAGAATAGATATGACCTAGAGCAATGTTTATAAATAAGACAGATAAAACTTTCTTATAATCAAATTTACTCATGAAAATCTTCTAAGTTGCTCACAAATCTTCTAAGTTGTTTTAAATCCTATTAAAGCTGATTTTACCTCCTGGGTTGGAAGACTGTTCTTTTGGCTGGTCTGCAAATGAAGTAGTTGGCTAGCATTTAAGAGTAAGATCCTATGAAAATACTGACCTTTATTCATTTGGCATAAGGGCATCACTGAAATTACCCATAGATGCAATATTATGAAATATTCCTTTAGTGTTTTCTATTAAAAAATCCACTTATCTTCAACATACTAGGTATTATACAAGGGTGGGGACTTGTCTCATATTCCTCACCAATAAATGTGGAAAAAAAGAGATACTTTTTTAACTGAATGGGGAAGATTCTCCTGATATAAACTGAGATTTAAAGAGATTAGAGAGAAAAAAGTATAACATGAAAGTGATGTTCTTCAGAGGAAAATAATTGGATACAATGCGAACAACTCTACTGCTGAATCTTGAAAAATGAGTTCACATACTGTTTTCTTCCCACTTAACTTCTAACGTTATTTCACAAAAATTGGGCTAATCACTGAAGGAACAATGCTTTGCAGCAAATTTCCAGAGTATTTATTTTTTAGGAATAACTTCCAAGAAATTCCAAATAATTGCCAATTATTTAGCAAAATTAAAAAAAAAAGTTTTTCACCAGTATTACAAAGAGATCTTCAAGTGGACTACTGAATGAATCCTTTTAAGATGCATACTTCTAAGGAAAAAAGTCATTCTAGAAACAGAAACAAGACTTATTTAGTCCTTCAGTTGCACTGAAAAATATTTTATAAGTTGCCATAAAGCAAGAGCAACAACAAAAATCTCCAAAAACAATCATAATGGGATCTTCCCAAGTAAGCAATGGCTGACAATTACATCAAGGCTTCTCACACATCGCTTTGCCATCAGAATAGAGGTAAATTTTGTTAAAATAAAGATTAAAGAATTTCCTTGGTGAGGAAATGAGTTCATTAATGTCCAAAGCTTAATGGATATTGAAGAAAATAGAAAAAGATATTCCCATATCTTTCTTAAGATCTGGTCTGGGTAGGAAGGGCTCATGTTACCTGGTGAGTGCATGAACTACACCATTGTTTTCTTTTTTAAAGGTAGTGGTAAAGGTGCTACCTTCTGTCCAAGTGGATTCCTCTAACATTGAAGAAAAACTACAATAATTTTGCCAAAATTAGTCAATTTGAAGTTCAGAAAATATAATTGTGGAACAGCTCTGAATCTTAAAATCTTACTAACTGCCATTTACTTTGTGACCCTGAACAGTCATTGGCTTCCATTCTCTTTTCAATTTTAAGGGACAGGAAAGGGATCAAATAAATGTGAACTTCAAAAAGCACTGTATGAACTATAAAACACTACACAGGTAAGAAGTATAAAGGACTACAAAGATTTAGACAATTCAGAGAAAAAATGTAGCGTGAACCGTTTATTTTGACAAAACAAACTTTTACGAATGATACACTCTGAACTCCCAAAGTTTCACTCTTTTAAAATATAAGAGGTGAGGCATCCTGGACTCCCAAGATTTCAGCCACGAATAAAACAGTACCAGATTTTCAAGTTATATAAACTGCATACCATAGAAGTGAAGAGAACTGTGATAAACATTCACTAGTTTCAAGTGTACCTATAAGACACATGGACATAGTTGAGTTTTTTAACCACACAGCTTTGTATCAAAAGCATCTAAGTAATTGACATATATTTCTGTTAATGGCAGACACAATTCCACAAAATCAAATTATACAAATCATTGGTTCTTAATAATCTCAATTTGGAAACTGAAAAATTAGAGGAATGTATAGCTAAGTAGCTGAAAATGTTATACTTATTGCACACAACCATATCATGACAAGGAATGCTAGAAGTAGATCCCCTCAGGAATGATTTTTGAAAATTTAAAGTATATTTTACTGGAAAAGCTAAAATCTTTAGTGTGAAAATCAGGTTAAATGAAGCACTGACTCAATCTCTAAAGATCCAGTAAATTATAGATTTTGTGCAATTAGTTACTAACATACACATTTCGAGATTAATACTGATTTCAATAGAACATTTAGATGGTTCTGAAGTGTCTACGTTTTATTGTTCACTTAACTACAGATGTCAATGAAATATAAGATTCCTTAGAAGGAGGTTATACAGCTTGTCCTGTACTAGCTACAGGTAATATGTATATGATTCAGAACAAATGACTGCTTTTCACTTTCAAAGAACCTCTTTTTAATTTATACAAAATTAGACTGTTTTACCCACATGTATGCATAAAAGTGCTTGTCAAATGTACATAGTCTATTTCCACAATCGTAAAACAAAACAGGCACACAAATGGATAACTGTTTAGATGTTTTATATGAATATTTTTGATATGTCTTTAAACAAATTAAACTGCTATCTAAAGAGATGTAAGAAACTTGGGTACAAATTTTCCTGACTTGGGAAAGTAAAGATCTAAGAACTCTCTAAACTCTGGAATTCAGTGCAATTTATATACTGGTTTATTCACTCTGCTAGCTGTTAACTTACTCCTTAATCGGTAAAGGCTGCAGGTACTTATGTTTCAGCAATTAGGAGACTAAAAAGACTAAGGTAGAAGGACTTGCTGGAATTAGTCTCCCACAAAATTGTTTTGAATCTAGTTACAAATTGATTTAATATGCTTGTTAGTTAAATTTTACAATAACCATAAAGACATTTACTCTTAACAAATTTTAACGAAATGTAATTAAGAACTACACTCTTTAATTTCAACGAAAGGTATTTTCCATTTATATGAAAAGGAATTTAGTAGACAGCAGTATTTACATAAAGAAATAGTCCCATCTCTTCTCTTTTCCCTTTTATAAAGTGCTATTTTTAACTGGGTAGATTTACTATCCAGCTTTTCAGTAACTTCACTGTATGTTTCTAATAGATTCAAGGAAACACTGGAAAATTTAAAGTCTTTAGTATTACAAACATTTGCAAACATTGCTACAATGTTTTTTATTTTATTAGTAAAATAAAAAGTATTTTATTAGTATGAGTGTATTTTATTAGTAAAATAAAAAGTGTACCTTATGTGAGAATCATTAAGTTGATTTAATAATTACTTCACAGAAGCATAGACTCACTAACATTTCTGCCAATTTTTGCTAGTCGTCTAAACCAGAAACAGCTTCTGTAGGCAATTCAACTCTGAGCACCACCAAATAGGGTTATGTCAATTAGAACCAATGGTTGTATGATCCTCAGAATAAAAACCTCTGGCAAATTTAAATTTAGACTGTTAGAATAGCAAAACAAATTAATAAAACTCAGAACTAGACGCAATGTTTTACTTAAAAGTACCATAGGTTGTCAAGTGTTTTAAGTAAAATTTTGTGTAGTTATTAATAATGTACCTTAACACTGAGTGCAGTGGTCTTAGAGACAGTTAAGAAAAAGCAGGACTACAGATTAAGTTAAAAGTGAATGTTGCCTATTTCTTTAGTTCAGTGATTAAAGTTCAAATTGCTATTTAAAAAATAGTTGAGCACTACTTAACAATACAAACAGGATACCATTTTTATTCACATTATTCTCTATAGAGCATTTTTGTATTTCAACTTTGACCTGACCTTCAGTAGTATCTTAAAAGGCATATGCGATTAGTAAAAAACAAAAAACAAAAACCAGGGCAGTATGTAGTTTTGTTTACACTTAAAATTTCATTACAATTGCATTTCTTGTCACTCTTGGAAGCACAACCACTTTTAAAAAACTGAAACATAAAAGTGCAAAATTCCTTACTTTGTATGGCATTCAGTAATGGTAAAATCAGAGGAACCCTCAATAATCAATTCCGTACACCCAATTTAAATTCCAGTCCTCAGAAACAGGGGCTCCAGGGCAGAGGGGTGGTATAGGGAAAAGAGGCCTAGGGCAAAGTTTGATGAAATCACTTGGAAATTTACTTCACCCAGAATGCTAGCGGGAATTCCTCCCACCCATTCCAACTCCCCAAGTAAGAATTTAACCCTTTATCTGGGCTCATTTTCTTGTCTACAACCTAGTATCCTATTCCTGAAAATAAACCTAGAATTTTCTAAAAAAAATTATTTTTACCCAAATACATTGGACTTCGGTCTCAATTTGAATGAAGATGAGTGGCTTTTAAGAGCCCGGTCCTCCTCTTCTTCCTCTCCTTCCTCCAGTGGCTGCTCTGGGTCTCTGAAAGAGGGTGTAGTGTGGATGATCTGGGTTCGGAAGCGGATTTTGTTGAGTTTGGGTTTTATCCGACCACTAGAGCCGCCGGAGGCCTTGCGACCTGGATCCCTTGCTTTGCTTCCAGCCCATCCCTCAGTCAAGTGGTGGTGGTGATGATGATGGTGATGATCCCCTCCATCCTCCAAGACATGTGAGAGTTTGTAGGTGATGAGGTGTGAAGGGAGCACCTTTGAAAGCCTCCATCGCCCACCCCCGCTGCCAGTGGCACTCTCTCCATCATCCTCATCCAGGGCTCCCACCAGGTTCTTGATCTCCTCAGCGATGCTCTGACTCAGGTACTGAGAGGCCTTTTTCCCACTGTAGTCCCTGATGTCCACGTCTGCGTCGTAAGCCCCCACCAGCAATTTCACCACCTCCACGTGTCCGTGCATGGCAGCTAAGTGCAGGGCAGTGTAGCCTCCGCTTGTCCTGGCGTTGATATTCACTGGCAGCTGGTGTTTGTTAGCGAAGTTGACGAGCATGGCCAGGAGCTCCTGTCTGCCATGCTTGGCGGCCCAGTGCAGGCAGGTGAAGCCGGTGATGAAGTCCCTCTTGGCCAACAGGCCGGGCTCACAGGTGAGCAGCCCTTCCAGGCTGTCCCACTTGCCGTCAGAGGCTGAGAGCATCCATGCATGTTCCAGAGGGTCCAGCGTCACGGAGCCCCCGCCGCTGCTCTCCTCCTCCGCAGACGACGAAGCAATGGATGCGCTGTCTGAGTCGCCCCCGCTTTTGCCGCGTCCTACCCCAGAGGAGCTTCCCGGGCTGTTGCCCCCAGGACACACGCTCCTCTTCAGCTGCGGTGAGCTGCCCATCACAAGGTCCCGAAGGTTCTGGCGCGTAGACCTTGGGGTGGTGATGCCGCCGCCGGGGGAGCTGCCCGCGTCCGTCTGCTCGCAGCCATGGGGTGGGGGCTCTAGGTCCTCGCTGGGCCCGGGGGCCGTTCCCCCGGAGGAAGCCTGCGCCTCGCGCCGAGAGCTCTTCCTCCCGGCCCCGCCGCTCAGGGGCGGCCCGCTCAGGCTGTCGCCAGCCAGGCTTGGCGGCCCAAGCGCCGCGGCCGAGATCTCCCCATGGCTAGGCTCGCAGCTTGGACCCGAGGACGCCTCAGGAGACGCCGCCACTGGGCACAGGCCATCCTCCTGGGTCTCTACCCGGCCGTCGGGCGTCCCTGGTGCGCCGCTGCTGGACTCTGGCTCTGCGGTCACCGAGATGATGGGCAGGTCACGCGACGGTGCGGCTTCAGACGGGGGAAGTCCCTCGCAGAACCTCTTTTTAAGGTGCACGTACTTAGAGCCGTCGACAGGGTCAGTGCGCACCGTAGCCACGGCATTGACTAGCTCCTTGAAGAGGGCGCGGGCGCGCGCGCGCTGCTCGGGCTCACCGCCCAGAGCACCCCTGAAGTGCTGTACCAGCTCGGCATGCCGGGCCCGGCCCCCGCGCTCCGCGAGGAAGCGCAGCACGGCCTCTGGGCTGAGCTCCACCGGCCCCTCCATCCGTGGCAGCGCTGCTCCTCCGCCGGCGAGTGGCTCAACCCGGCCCCATCGCGGCCCTCTTGAAAACACTCGCTTCTGAGGGACGTAGAGTCCAATCGCCTGAGCTTCTGCTGCCGGAGACGCCACCACCGCCTCACTGGGGCCGCGCCCCTGGGGAACACGCCCCCGACAGCCCCGCCCCCACGGATGCACCCCGCCCCCAAGACCGCCTACTTCCGGTCCCCGCTTTGGCTGCTACCGCATCTCCCGCCGGCCGTCGGCGGGCACGCCCCCGCCCCGCCCTATGGCCCGCCCACTTCCGGCCTTAGCGCGGGCCCGCAATCACTGCACCCACCCGCCGCCTGCTGGCTGAGTTTTTTTTCCCGCGAGTCTTCCTCCACAAGTACTGAATCTCTTCCAGTCACTCTCCCTCCGTTTGGGGTTGTCGTCTTTTGAGACGTCGAGGGATACTCCTGAGAGAGACTCGCTTCGCGCGCGCGCGCAACTATTTGGCGCAGTTAATGTCACGCGCCCCGTCTAGCGGGGCCTCGGCCCTCTGGCCCACTGCCCTCGCGTCTCTGAGGCCAGTAGACTTGGCTCCTCCCCTTTCCCCGGTTACCCGATGCCCCCCTCTCCCGCGGAGGCTGACCCCGCCCGTTACACCCGCCTCCGGCCCGCGCCCCGTGCGTTCCACTCTTCCCGGGCCCCCTTTGCTCCCTTCTAGGTTGGGACGCTATTCTCGGGGGCCCTGGCTGAAACCCCCACTTCGCTGAGACTCCTGCCTACGCTCACCTTCCGCTCGGGACCATGACCTCTGAGGTGGCGCGGCACCTGGTGAGTCCCTGTCGACTCCTCACGACCCCTCCACTGCCCAGCGCCGCCCCCTCCCCCAGGGCCCGACTCCCAGGGCCGCCGCCCAGCAGTTCCCAGGGTCCCAGCGTAACCTCCTCAGTCCAGAACTCGGGGCCCGAAACACGGTCCGGGTCCCGTCCAGTACTGGCGGTGATGGTGAGCCGCGCCGTTCCTCAGCTTCCATTGCCCTGTCGGCCGGTCGTCCCTGGGCCGCCGAGGCCGGCTGGTCCGACCCTGCTGGGAGGAGGGGTTCTCTTTCTCCTGCTTTAGTTCCGGAGGCAGGGACCGGGGCGGTTCTGCGTTGCCAGAAGCGGGGACGCAGGGCGGACTCCCCCTTTCCCCCCAGATTCCCGACCCCAAGTTGCTGAGTGGCTGGGAGTTTTTGCGCGGCTTCTCTGTCTTGTCAAAAGTTATATCTGAAACAGTGATTGTGGGTCCATCATTTTTATAACGGTTTTGGACGCACAGATTAATGGAATAGTAGTGTAATGTTTTACATTTTGTACTTTTCCCTGACTAGTCACTGGAGGCCAGCTTCCTTGGACTTTCAAGAAACTTACTCTTTTTACCAACTGTGTGGTTGTCCAAGTTGTCCATTAGGAAGGATTTGAGCCTTTTTTTTTTTTTTTTGCCTTGGCACCCTTGAACCTTAAAAGAATGTCTGTGACTGATGTGTTCAATGTTTTGTACGTTTTATTCTTTAAAGAAAATTTTTTTTAACTTTAGATGGATAGAGAGCAGGAGAGAGGAGCAGAAGGAGAGAATCTTAAGCAAACTCCATGCTCAGTGCTAGCTGGAGGCAGGTCCTGGATCCCAGGACCCTGGAATCACGATCAGAGCCAAAGAGTGGTATGCTCAACTACTGAGCCACCCAGGCACCCACAGTGTTTAATACTTTTAGAATCACTTGTGTGTTTACGTTGTTTGATATAGTAAGCCAGTGGTTCTCAAAGCGTGGTCACAATTATTTTCATAACAACACCAAGCTCTTATTTGCCTTTTTCGCACTCTGTTATGAGTTTAAGATGAGTTTTATGGAGGCTACTTGATGTGGAATGACCTCACCATTCTGAGAGCTAATGTGTGTACTTGGTTTTTAAAAATTTCTGTTTTGAGGTGCCTGGATGGCCCAGTCTGCCCTGAAATTCTTGGCTTCATCTCAGGTCATAATCTCATGGTTTGTGAGTTTGAGCCCTGTGTTGGGCTTTGGGCTGACAGCATGGACCTCTCCCTCACTCTCTTCTCCTCCCCTGCCTGCTCTCTCTTTTTCTCTTTCAGAATAAAGAAACTTAAAAAAATAAGAAATTTCTGTTTTACTTAATAATACTGTAAATATTAATGGTCGTAAGCCAGATAAGCAAAAGCTCTATGGGGGCCTGAGACTAAAAATAAAAAGTTTGGGAACTGCTGGTCTAAGCTCCTAAATTAGATTGTAGAAATCGAGTTCAGATTGTAGCCTGAGAGATTAGGTGATACGTGGAAAGTTACACAACCAGTTTCTTTGATAGATCCTGGAAAAGGATTTTTCTACCCTTTTGTATAAAGATAGAGAAATCTCAGTTGTTCTGTTTGAACTGTGTTATAGTTTCTTTGCGTGTATGAGTGAGGAAAATATTTTTTAAACTCTGATTCATAGTAATCTTCAGAATTAAACTTAAACTGAAGAGATCACTTCATTTAATTGATGTTGGATTGCTTGTCAACTGCTGTACTTATTTTGCAATAATAATTGTACTTTTATTTTCTAATTAAACTTTTTATTTTGAGGTAATTGAAGGTGCAGTCTTGGAGTTGTTAAGAAATAATGAGAGCCCCTGTACCATTTGTCCAGTTTTTTTTTTTTTCAATAATAACACCTTGCAAAACCATAGACAACCAGGACATTGCCATTGATACTGTGAAGATAACTTTCCATCCTCACAGCATCCTTCAAGTTGCCCTTTTATACCACATCCACTTCATTTCCACCCCTGACAACCACTAATCTGTTTTTCATTTCTATAATGTTCTCAGTTCAAGACTTATATAACTAACTCACACAGTATGTAATTTTCTGGAGCTATCATCCAGGTTGTTGCATGTGTTATTAGATTGCTCCTTTTAATAGCTGAGTAGTAGTCCATGGTATGGATGTTCCATCTTTGTTTGAAGGACATCTGGTTGTTTCCATTGTTGGGCTACTATGAGTTAGGTTGCTGTAAACATTCTAGTATAGTAGCATGTAGTGTAACCTAATGAAAACATAAGTCTTCAGTTCTCTGGGATAAATTCACAGGAGTGTAGCAGCTGGGTCACACGGCAGTTGCATGTTTAGTAAATTGTTTACTAGAGTTTCTGCACTGTTTTTCATTCCCACTAGAAATGTTATAAGGGATCAATCTCTCCACATCCTCATCAGCATTTAGTATTCTTTTTTTAATTTAGATATTCTGATATGTATGTATGTATGTATCACAGGTATGTGGTTTTAATTTGCATTTCCCTATTGGCTAACGATATTAAGCATCTTTTCATGGGCTTATTTATCATCTGCATATTCTCAAGTGATATGTCTTCATTTCTTTAGCCCATTTTCTAATTTGATTTTGTTTACTGTTGATTTTAGAGTTTTCTTTTTAAATATGCTCTGGTTACTAGTCCTTTCTTGATACATAGTTTGTAAATGTTTTCTCAGTCTGTTGTGCTGTCTTTTTTTTTTTTCCCCCATCCTCTTAACAGAGTCTTTTGGAGAGCAAATGTTTTTAATTTCATTTAAATCTATTTTATCAATTTTTCGTCCTATGGATTTTACTTTTGATGTCAAGTCTAAGAGCTCATTGCCTAACCCTAGATCCCAAACATTTTCTTATTTTTTTCCTAAAAGTTTTGTGGTTTGTGTTTTACATTTAAGCTCATGACTCATTTTGAGTTAATTTTTATGTAAGGTGTAAGACTTAGATCAAGTGTAATATTTTGGCTTATGGATGCTCCAGTATCGTTTATTGAAAATGTTGTCTATCCTCTATTGAATTGCTTTTACACTTTGCCAAAAAGCATTTGAACATAACTGTGTGGATCTATTTCTGGGTTCCCTGTTAGTACTAGCACATAGTCTGGATTCTTGTAGCTATGTAACTCTTGAAATACAGTAGACTTATTCCTCTCACTTTATTCTTATTTTTTCAGAAATTATTTTGGCTATTCTGTTACTATTACTTTCATTATAAGTTTTAGAATAGTCTTATCTATATCTACAAAAGAATTTTGGTAGGATTTTTATAGGAATTATATTAAATCTGTATATCAATTTAGGGAGAATTGAAATCTCTACTATGTTGAATCTCCAGCTTATAGACATGGTATCTCTTCCCATTTCTTTATATTTTCTTTCATTTCTTTCATCAGCATTATGTAGTTTTCAGCATACAAGTCCTGCACGTTTTGTTAGATTTAAACCCATTTCATTTTTTTAAGCAATTGTAAATTGTATTGAATTTTTAATATTATTGTCCACATATTCAGAGTAAACATATGGAAATACAGTTGATATTTGTATGTTTATCTTGTGTCCTCTGACTTTACAGAATTAATTTATTCTAGGAATTGGGATTCCTCCTAGATTCCATGGGATATTCTTCATAGAAAATCTTGTCATTTCACAGAGACAGTTTTATTTCTTTCTTTCCAGTCTGTTTGCCGCTTGCTGCCTTATTTATGCTGGTTGGGACTTGTAATAATTGAGTAAGAGTGGTGAGAACAGACATCCTTGCTTTGTTTGTGATGTTGGGGGGAAAGCATTCAGTCTTTTATCACAGATGTAGATTTTTTTGGTACATGTTCTATCAAATTCATGAGGGATATTGGTCTGTAGGTTTTTTGTATTGTCTTTATTTGGTTTGGTATCAGGGTAATAATAGTTTCATAAAATTGATTGGGAAGTGTTACCTCCTTTTTCTGGAAAAGACTCTATGTATAGAATTGGTGTTAATTCTTCCTTAAATGTTTGATAGGCTTCTTCATCGAAACCATCTGGGCCTAGAGATTTCTTATTTATAGTTTTTAAATTACAGATTTAATTTCCTTAGTAGTTATATGGCTATTAATGTTTCATATTGAGTGAATTGTGGTAGTGGGTGGTTTTCTGATTGATTCCTTCCAAGTTGTCAACTTTATGTGTATAAAGTTGTTAATAATATCCCTTTATTACCCTATTGATGTCTTTGGGGCCTGTAATGATATTCTTTGTTGCATTCCTTTTTTGTTTTTTCTTAATGTTTTATTTTTGAGAGAGAGAGAGAGAGAAAGGATGTGCAGGGGTTGGGGCAGAGAGAGGGGGACAGAGAATCTGAAGGTGGCTTTGTGATATCAGCAGAGATCTGGATGCTGGGCTTGAACTCACCTGAGCCAAGTCAGACACTTAAACAACTGAGCAACCCAGGAACTCCCTGTTCCATTCCTTGTGTCTTCTACCTTTCTTGGTCAGTCTTGTTAGAAGTTCACAATTTCATTCATCTTTTCAAAGAACCAGCTTTGTTTCATTGATTTTTTCTGTTGTTTTTCTGTTTTGTTTATTTATTCATTTATTTTAAAATTTATTTAGAAAGAGAGCAAGCAAGTGCAAGTAGGAGAAGGAGCAGAGGAGGGCGGAGAAGGGAGACAGTGGACCTGAAGCAGGCTCTACCTGATGTGAGGCTTAAACTCACAAACCTTTAGGTCGAGACCTAAGCCAAAGTCTGATGCTTAACTGACTGAGCCACCCAGCCACACTTGTTTTTCTGTTTTAAATATAACTGATTTATGATCTTTATTTACTTTCATTTGCTTGTTCTTGGTTTATGTTGCTCTTCTTTTTCTAAGTTTTTAGGGCAGACCTCAGATCACTGATTTGAGACTTTAACTCCTTTGTAATATATGGACTTGGTGGTGTGAACTTTCTTCACAGCATGGCTTTAGGTCTGTCCCACAAATTTGGGTATGTTGTATTTTCATTATACCTTTACTTA